CAACTTATCATGCAGGCCAATCGATTGATCACATCATGAAATCGAAAAATAAGACAGATATTCCTAAAGTATCTGTGCTAATTACAAAATGATGTGATATAAGACCGGCAAGATCAGTGTATTAAGAATGATTTATTTCATTCCAGCAATTTAAATTGAGGATTGATCTCCTTGGTTTTATATTCCTAATTCTATTTTCACTTTCACAATGCAATTTGTTTCATCTTAAAGGAGGTTTCTCCATTACAGTGCAGAATATTGCAGCCTGTTTCATACTTTAGTTGCACAGTCTGAAATTAAACGTTGATCCAGGAATTTTCAAAGAATTGGGGGTTAGTTTGATTCACAACTAGTGCAATTGACATCTAAGCTCTAAAGCTCTGTAGATTGTCATTTATTTTTTTTTATTTCTTTTGATGATCCTCGTGATTTTGAACGCAAATTTATACTATGTATAGGACATTTCTTTTTAATATTCGAATTAAATTGCATTTAAAACATTTTGATCATAACTTCAATAATCTTAAAACAAAATTTGATACACAGAAAAAAGAACTTCTTACAGCAATAAATTATTTCATGATTCTTTATTTATGATTATTGTAATAATGCAAAGTTTATATAATAAAAAACTAATATGATTGAAGTAAACATCTTGAAAAAAATATTTCTTCTTAAATTTAATACAGAATAGCTGTTTTGTTTCACTAATTTTTCTTATTTATATTATGATGGTGTTTCGTCCAATTTTTCCATATGGTTGTTCTTTTACAAACGAATTTATTTTTTATCGATGGCATTATTTAGTGACGCAGATACACCAGTATGCGCTCTGGAACTCTCGACTATTCCCTTCACGAATTCCTTTTGCGTCTCTACTGCCGCCTCTTCGTTGCCACATATGGCCTCTACAGCTGATCGAGCTTGGGAGACGATCGGACATCGTTTGGAGAATTCTTCCTGTGTCCTTAGTGCCCCCTCGGGATCGCCAGCGAGAGCTTGGCATAAGGACTTATACTGAGAAACTATCGGCACGGAGTTTTCGTTACCCATTTTCTGAAATGAATTGGTTAAAACTTAAAAAAATCTATTTAATAAAACAAATTGAAGATTTAAATATTTTACTACATGTTCAGGTAGATGGTAATAATGATATTTTATAAATTCATTGATAACTGTTTTTTTAATTCTATGTAATATTTTTAAAAAAGTTGCGCATGTCTGTTTTACCATCAGAGATTATTTAATTATTAAGTACTAAAAAATAACCTTCCAAAAAGGTTTTTCTTTAGATAATATTCAATGCAATTCTGAAATTCTACAAACAGTTTCTTCCTGTGTGGCTTACTGGCTTATATGAAGTACTTATCGGTTACTACATGTACCAGAAATTTACTGTATTTATATAGGCTGATCTAATTTTTCTTATCCGTTCAAAATGAAACCGAAAATAGATTTTCTGAAAACAAAATATAGTATGAACATTGTTTGTACAATAATCATATAGCTGATCAAGCTTAATATAAAGATTTAAAAATGCAGTGAGCCATTTATTAAAAGAAGAACCAGATAATTCTGTGTGATATGTAATCCGTGAAATTCTGTTGTTCTGTTCTTGTGAAACCTTATGAAACGTATTGAATTTCCTTCTGCTATTAGGAGTTCCGACATAAAACTCTGTTCTGTGTCTCAATATAATTGTGTCAATAATTGTTATTCCTTGTATTCACATGGTTTTGATTTGGCCAATCCACATGATAGAAGCCCCGACTCTTGTTTCAATTTGTCCCGCCTGGCACGTGATTTTTTTAAACCGCGCCTATCGATGAACCTGTACATTGATGGAGGAATAAAGTACATTAACTATTTGTAATCTTATCTCGAACAAATACATGGATATGCAAATATTTTGGAATAAAACTTAACATTTACCACACATATGTTTACCAAATGAAATTTTTTTTTTTGTTTCATCACGGGTGGATAGGTCTTCAAAAACATTTAAAGTGCGAATTGACCGAATAATTCAGATCAGGCTTTTGAACTTTATCTTGCAAAACGCTCTAAACTAGTTTAAATAATAATTTAATACTATCTAATATCCCTTTTTAATTCATTCAACCAAATGAGATCCAGGACAAGTGCGGGGAATTGGAAATTAATCATCGACAGAATTCTGTGTACAGAAGAAGTCTGTGAGCCAATGTTTACCAGTAATATTCCCGCTCTGATGTAAATATATGTAATGATGTTAATATGCATTTTACAAATGCACAGATATTCAGATAAATATGAAGTTGACATTAGATTAATGTAAAAAAACAATGCAACCATATGGCTGCCTCAACTGAGTATGTAATAAAATTTCAAACATCTGTAATTAGTAGTTAATGACAAATTTGCGACGTATGTATGTACATGTAACAGACTGGTACTAGGATAAACAGGAAGTTGACATCAAAAATGAACAAAAATGAATCCCACTATGTTGCATGCATCAGGGAAGATTGTGTTGAATTCCAAGTATCTGCTTTGAGTAGTTGCTGAAAAAAATGACGATTTTTTTATGGACAGACACAGAACTAGACAGATGGACAGACACACAAACAAAAACATTATATTCCATCTCCTTTTGATCGGGGTTATAGAAATTTAGATTGCAGTTTCTACATTGATTTATTCATTAACTTTAAAGCTCTTAAGGAATGTTTGAACACAGTTATACTCATTGATTTTCTTTTTTACATGTACATGTGAGCAAGTTTTAAGAAGTAAACATTGAACTTCTGGTAGCCATGATGCTCTCATTGAGGAATATAAAAATTTTACCGATAGGATTATTTTGAAAACCGACTTGTATGTATTGGTATATATAAACAGGTATAAATTATTATTACTGTTATCTATGATATCGATATCTTCCTGTCTACTCTTCGTATATTTAAAGTGATGGTCGTTATCTAATACCGTGTTATGGCCCTGACCGTAGTGTTTTATTTGCATTTTGCAGACCATATGATGATGAATATGTTAGAGCAGCGCTAATTTATCTATGTTTTAAGTTGCACATATGATCAGATACAGTAAAACTCGGTTAGTACGAACACGGATATTGCGAATTCACCGATATAGCGAAGTTGTCTTGGATCCCCAATTATATAAATCTAACAAATTCTTACACTATATATATGTCTCATATAACGAAGTAATCTCATAGGTGACTTCGTTATAACGGAGTTTTACTGTAATACTGTTTGATATTGCAGCTGTTGAGGTTCATGATCTTTCTACTCTGATAATTTTACAAAGGAAATATGAATGCTAAGTAAAATTGAAAGAATTAAAGCATGGTTTGCGGAAAAAAAATGTATTAAAATATATTTTTACCTCGCAGTATTGTTAGGGCTTGAATAAAGGGGCGGGGCCTCATTCATACGGGAAATGTTTACTGTGACGTCACACAAAAGTACAATTTGTATTCCTCATAAAACTAGAAAATCAAATAATTTGCAATTTTAAAATGTGATTATTCTATGATTAGCGAGAGACTGTATGTAATTTATTTTGCCGTGTTTTTATGTACAGATTTGACATGTTTACTATCGAGGTGGCTTATTAGATCGCCTTTTCGCCAGGGCATACACTTAATAGATGTTAGCAATTTTTTTTTAAATAAAAGTAAAGGATGGTTTCCTTAACTTGAAAAGTGCTGCTACTTTATTTAAATCGAGAGCGTGACTTAATACGGACATAAAATACTTGGTAAAGGTCATACATATTTCGATATGGGCATATTTACTTAAAATTTTTACTAATAAGGTGCAAATTCTGTATAAAGTAGCAGCACTTTATCGAAAGTACAAAGTATTTAGAAACAAATGGTAATTTAATTTTTTATTTCAAGTAGGGTATGTCCTTGCGATATTGAAATTTGTTTATGACCTCCATTTAGTACATGTACTATGCATTTATCACGTGACTGTCCATTAATGGGACCAAACTTAGTTTAGTACAGAGTGGGGTATACTATGTTATTTCAGTAAGCATGGGAGTAATTTATTAATTCAACAGCCTTAGAAAAATAAATTCAGTTTTAAAAATAATCCCGTTTTTTGCATGTCTATATTCTATTGATTTCTTTTTATTAGACCTTAACAGTGTTGCGTAGTCAAATTGATACATTTGTGTCAGTATGAGTTACCTCTCATTTCAGAGTATCGATGTACCTTAAAATAATGTGTTATTTCGCTTTAAATTATGATTGACATGCTAATGAAATGGGAATATAGCAACAGTTATCAGTCTTAAGAGTGCATTGGAACAAAACAAATTTTAAGCAGATCAATAACAAACACATACACATCTAAAGTATTGAACTCATCAACAAGGAAGTTGGGTTATATACAATTCACTTATTATGAACTGTAGGTCTATATTTTTTTTACAACCATCTTAAAGATACAAAATATTAACAACAAACTTTTTTTCTTCAGGGATTATAAAAACAATATTTGTCACTTTTCATGCAAATGTAACAAACTTTAGAACAGTATGTATGTACAAATTTAGATTATATTAAGTTTTTAATTATTTAGTGCACTTTTAATTAGCTTATCATTTCAAAATGAGAGCTTTAATCAAATTTAGGCGTTTTAAATAAAACAAAAATGGAAATAAACCAAAAAGGCACAGATTTTATACGCATTAGTTTTTACCATTTTAAGATAACGTAGTTCCCAAAAAATATTTTAATTAATTTTTTAATTAAGATATTTGCTCTACTCTTTTTCTTTAATATCTGTATTAGAATTTGCGTAATGATATTGTACATTGCCAAGTGTCATATGTCATTTTGTTGTTTTTGTTCCATTAAAGAACAACAACCTTGTGAATCTCAATTATTTTCATCATCAAACATTTTTTTTTAAAATAAGTCCCGAGAATCGACAAAAGTGTATAGTAAAAAGATAGTGTACGTCTGCAATGGCTATGTTCTTTAGTTACCACAGTTAATATACGGGTAAGCATCAGCATTTTACAACAGCGGCTCACTTTAAATAGTTCTAACACTTTTGTCTGCGTGTTTCCAGTCTGTCAGCAAAATATAGTTTACCTGTGTTGATTGGATATTTCATGATTAAGTGCACCAAGATTCGATGAAAGTTGCGCAGAACGACCTATGTGAACATATTTCAGTTGCTGTTTTCTGGTTACAGTTTTTTAAGTATTTTTCTGTTTTCTAATGGGCAGTGTTTGAATAGAACTTGACTTATTTCCTCAAAACGGTTTTTGGATGCCAAGCTTACTGGTGTCTCTTCATTGGCACTATAGCTAAAACTATTTGCACCCTCTTTGACTAATAACTTAACAGTCTTTATATCATTTCGGGAGCAAGCTATATGCAGCGGTGTCTGTCCAGTCTCATCAACTGCATTAACATTTGCACCATTAAAAATTAAGCTCTCCGCAACATGAAGCAACCCCCTTCCTGTTGCCACATGTAATGGTGTTTTTCCACTGGAATTTGTAGATAAATACTTATCAAAGAGTAACTCGAAATTTTTAATTGGACTACTCTTCATGAGATAATCAACAGTTTTTTCTGATCCTTTTCGGAGAGCAACAGCTAATGGAAGTTGTTGGGATAAATGTAATTTTTCAATATTACATTTCTCCAATAATGATTTAAACTTTTGATAGGGAGTTGTATACATGAAACTGTGTAAAATGTCAACTGAGCCCATCGTGATACTTATGAGCAGAGGTGTTTCGTTGTTAGAATTGTACATTTCTACCTCTGCTCCTTGTTTTAAAAGAATTCGGACGATATTTTTGAAATTGCAAGCGCAGGCATCATGTAATGGAGTATCGCCATTTTCATCTCTAGCATTTAGATTAGCACCACGGGTAATTAACTTTTCCACTTTTTCATTATAATCATGTTCCACTGCAATATGTAAAGATGTTTTGCCATTGGTAAACGTACTCGTGACGTCACATTTCTCCAACAACAATTTCATGTTTTCAGTAGAGCAGCTTTCCAAAAGGTATTTGACTATCTCCTCGAATTTATGTCTAGCAGCAACACATATTGGGGATTCATTCATCAATTCAGACATGATGATGTGCGCATCGGCTTTTAAAAGTAATCTGACAGACTCCATATCATTAAGTGAGCAAGCAATATGCAGCGGCATTTCATTTCTTTCATCTACAGCGTTCACGTTACACCCATAGTCAATCAAACTTTGAACAACGCTAATAAATCCCCCTTTTACTGCAAGATGTAAAGGGGTTGATTTCAAAGAAAAGTCGTTGCCTTCTAACAATAATCCAAAATTTTCAATAGGACAAATGCTTAAAAGATATTGCATCACACCATCAACTCCATACTGGGTCGGGTGAATCTTAGAACCTTCGATATATTCGTTGCTACATTTTCGAAGCAAAGATTTAAATTGCTGAAAGGGACATGACAACATAAAGGATAGTAAAATATCCTAAAAAACCCTTATTAAAAGCTATAGATACAGGTGATTCGTCTTTTGAATCGAACATATCTATAAAAGCCCCTTCTTTTATTATCAATTTTACGATATTTGGGTTGTTTGTTGAACAGGCAATGTGCAATGGAGTTTGTTTCTTAGCATCTGTGGCATTTTTGTCAGAACCACGATGAATTAATAATTCAACATCTTCAAAAAATCCATATTCTACTGCGAGATGTAACGAGGTCTTGCCATCAACAATAATACTTTCAATGTCACATGTCTTCAAAAACTTTCTTAGATTTTCAGACGAAAATTTCTTGAAGAGAAGTCGCAAAATTCCGTCAGTATTATAGGATGAAGCAGAGTACATAGACACTTGATCTTGTACAGTAAGTTTATTAACACCTTCTTTGTTACAACCGTTAATTGCTGATTTAAACACTTGAAGAGGAATTTCAAGTAGTAGGTTCAGCAAAAGGTCCTCAAAACCCTTCATTACAGCAATTTGTAAAGGTAGCATATCACTGTTGTTGATCAAGTTCAAGTTTGCACCTTTCTTTGCAAGCAATTTTACAATTTTTACATTGTTTTTTGAACAGGCAATATGCAAAGGCGTGTCTTTCAATTTGTCTGCGGAATTGATATCAGCACCCCGGCGAAGTAAGTTCTCAGTTATATCATAAAATCCATGTTCTATTGCTAAATGCAAAGGTGATTTTCCATCATGACATGTGGATGCAGGGTTGCATTTATCTAAAAGTAATTTGAAAATATCTTTTTTCGTTGATTTACTCGCAAAATAAAAAGGACAAACACATTCATTTTTGCTTGTCACTAGAGCACGGTTTTGAAGCAGATATTTGACTATTTTATCTGACCCACTTTTAAGAGCAACGGATAATGCAATGAGTGTCCCCCTTACAATTTTTACAATTTCATATGCACTGAGTGAACACGCAAGAGTTAGTGGAGTATGATCCGAATGATAGGATGTATTAATACCTTCTTCAATTTCAAGTTTCGATAAAATTGATAATGTGAATTCAAACATACTTTTCTCCGTACTATATATCGAGAGCCAGAAAAAACGTTTATGTTCTCTCAGTGGACCTGAAATCCATGAATGAAATTTCTTTGACTTTTGTAGAAATGCATTGCCAAATTGTAGATGTCCGTTTAAAATAATCCATTCAGCAAGTTTTATTTTATCATCATACATGTATATTCTGGCTACATTTCTACCAATGTAATTGCCCATTATGAATTCTTGTTTTTCTAAATATGCACTTCTTCGTTTTTTTTAGCTTTTGCTTCTCTGATGTTGATTTTTCTTGCAATGTTTAATATGGATTTGAAAATAACCCAACAATGGTTTTCTTACCAATGGTTGTAAAGAACAGCGTTACAAACTCAAGGACTTAGAATATGAAGTTATTGATCAAGACTAAATCGCTTGCTATATCATTGTACTCTTTATAAATTCCATATGAAAAAAAAATACGACTACTAGTCATAGTCAAACATAATATAGAAATATCCTTATATGGATTATCTTCATACGCATAATTGGAATATAGTGCTTTTTGTCATGAATGGTTAAAATTTACGAAATCATGTTTCGATTTGAAAGAGCTAAAAAGAGTAAAATCAAGAAGTTATGTAAGAGACTGCTTTAAGGATGTGATTCTCAACAATTATGTTTTGTTTTTACATCCTTCTGGTTTTAATTTATTTTAGGAATCACTGTCTTGTTTTTTGAGTATACCAGGGCATCAACGGTAGCTGGAAATATGGGATAATTTTCATAACGGATGAATACCGTCATAAAATACAGGAGGCGTTCCATGTTAATAGCAGCCTCTGTCGTCTGACGCTTCTGACATGCAGCTGCACGAGATTGACAAGCATTAAAGGTTTTTGGCTTTTTATCCGGCGAAATTAATATTCGGATGAAATTACTATGACTCATCTAACTTTCAATATTTATTACAGGAAAACCATCAAAAATGTAAATATTTGCATATCATTGGCATTTTATTTATTTATATAGGTAAGGCTTGCAGTACAGTTAATTCTTATTATGAAGTGTGCCGTACAAAAATGCATTCGAAGAATTCATGTGAGAAAAAGTTCAAATATAGTATTCTTTTATCTTTTTTACTGTATTTCTCTAGAAATGAGACTTACGCCTGCTGCCAGGAAGCAAGGTTTTCAAGGAACATTTCTCACAATAACATGTTTCCAGGCGGAAAAATTCTGAAACTCTCCTTAAGTGTCAGCAGATCAGAATGTGCTTTGCAATGTCTTCTGCAGAAGCCAGCATGTGCTGGATTCTCGTATAATAACAAGAGTTGCTATCTGTATGCCCACGGTATGCATAAAAGAATCACACACAATAGGAGGGCAGAAGGTTGGGAATTCTGGACCCTAAATGATGGTAAGCTAATAAATATTTTACTTTAATAACTTAAATTTCAAATCCTTATTTCGATCGATCGAAAGCATATGTTTTAAAAAATATATATATTTCTTACCTAGAAAAGGACAAGTCTATAAGCATGATATAAATTCTCACTTAAAAGAGGTTTAAATCAAAGACACTGTATATATAATTAAAATGTAATAAGAAAAGCAAATTATTCGTTTGACAAGACAAACAGATAATTCAAATAATTTAATTTTCGGTTGATGAGTTAAAAATTAATGTAAGCGCTGCACATCAATAAGAGACTTAAAAGATTTCAGTGTTTTTTATATTTATTTTAAAAATGTCAGATATTGGGAGAATATAACATTCAAATCTTGCAATACAATTGCTATAATAAATAAATATACATATAGTGTATATTTTTTTTTACACCTGAAGGTTTAATGAGAATTATTTTTCTGGTCGAAATAAATGTGAAATTTCACCTTCTTTCAGTTTGTCCAAAACACTGGCTTCCATATGATGGTCATTGTTATTTCCTAAACGAAACTAAGGAAACTTGGAATAATGCTAAGGTAACAAATTATAATTATACAATTATGGACTCTTTTGGGCGCTTGGTCACGTTCAATTCTAATATCAAATTTGTAAATAACAAACCATATTCAATATCAAAAGAGTTCATAACTGTTTTATTATATAATCTTAACTTGAAAAAAATAAGACAATATAGGCTGCATGATGACACCATTTACATTCACGAACTTCCTTCGTTGAAAATAAAAGAAAAAATATCTAGATTAAAGTGTTAACCTCCATTCTCCTTTTCGAGATACTATACGTGTAAGACTTCCAAAGTTTGTATATTTTTAGGTCACCTGAGTAACTCAGGTGACCTATTGCTATCCGTTTTCGTCCGTCGTCGTGCGTCGTGTGTCGTGTGTTAACTTTTGAACATTTTCAGCTTCTTCTCTAAAACCACTGAACCAATTTCAATCAAATTTGGTATTGAGCATCTATGGGTGAAGGGGAACAAAAATTGTGAATTTCATGGTCCCCCTCCTCCCTGGGGCCTGAGAGGGGGGGTCAAAACCACTAAAATTATTGCAATCTTTAAAAATTTTCTTCTTTACTCCTGGACATCAAGCAGGCAAATTGTTGGCATGAATGTAATGACCATTGAGTCGTCTACCAAAATTGTGAGATTCATGGCCCCAGGGTCAGGGGTTCTAGTGCTAGGGTGGGGCTATATAGATTATATTGTGAAAATGCATTATTTCTTTGAAAATCTTCTTCTCTGCTTCTGGGTATTAAATAAGCTAACTAAGAACAAGGTATTAAATAAACTTAGTAAGCACATAGTTATGACAAGCAAGAGTGCCTCTTCCAAAAGTGTGAATTTTATGGCCCCAGGGTCAGGGGTTCTAGTGCTAGGGTGGGGCTATATAGATTATATAGTGAAAAATGCATTATTTCTTTTGAAATCTTCTTCTCTGCTTCTGGGTATTAAATAAGCTAACTAAGAACATAGTAATGATGAGCAAGAGAGCCTCTTCCAAAATTGTGAATTTTATGGCCCCAGGGTCAGGGGTTCTGGTGTTAGGTCGGGGCTCTATTGATTATATAGTGAAAATGCATTTAATCTTTGAAAATCTTCTCAGCTTCTGAGTATTAAATAAACTAAGTAAGCACATAGTTATGATGAGCAAGAGTGCCTCTTCCCAAATTGTGAATTTTATAGCCCCAGGGTCAGGGGTTCTGGTGTTAGGTCGGGGCTCTATTGATTATATAGTAAAAATACAATAATTCTTTGAAAATATTTTCTTCTGCTTCCGGGTTTTATGCCATTGATCCAAGTATATATATTTATGATGTAGAAACGTGACCTAGCAAAGTGGTTTATGCCCCCTGGGTCAGACGGGGGGGGGGGTTTACACATTCTGAAAATAAATTAATGCCTTGAAATCTGCTCTTTGGTATTAATCAACCATTTTATGATAAAATTTTCAAAATTTTGAAATTTATGGCCTCTTAGTCAGTGGTTCCTTTTGGGTGAGAGGTGCACAACTGGGTATAAAGTGGAAGTGCATTTTCTCTTTGTAACTCTGATCTACCTCTGGGTATTAAGAAAATAGAGTAAGCATGCTAATTTAATAATTATGATAAGCAATGGTGCCTCTTTCAAAATTGTGAATTGTGAATTTCATGGCCTCTGGTTTAAAACACAAACCAAATTTAATTGTTTGAAAGTTGTTACACAATACTCAGGTGACCTAAAAGGCCCGTGGGTCTGTTGTTTTCCTAGTGCGTACCTATGTATACCTCCAATCACGCATAGAACCATAACCTTCCCACCCGTTATATAAACCCTTTATATGGACTAAAATACTTCATATATCCAAATGAATGATAAAGTGTCTATGCGAAGAGGGGAAAAAATAGCGAAAACATTTTTCTGCCACCATACAGATTGTAAGAATGATCGCCAGTAAGTTCAAAAGGCAACAGAGGGATAAATCACCTAAAGAATAGACATAAATGAAAAACTATTAGGCAAATTTATAGCTATATCATTTCTTTTTTAGTATCTTAATGACGCTTCAATATTAATGAAAAAAATCTGGAGAGGGACGTATATGCAATCAAACTTTCAATCAGGGGTATTTATGACATAACCAAAATAAAATTTTCTATTCTTTCAATGTAAATTTTTACGATAATCTCAATAAGATATACATTTTATTTTAATAAACTTGATCATGTTATTACTTTAATATGTGTTTTCATATGTTTTTTTTAGGATCTGTGTGAAGAGCATGGAGCTCATCTTGTTGAAATTGAAAATGTAGAGGAAAATTATTGGATCCAGAATAACTTTCCATCTGTTTGGAAAGATGGTAACATACACATGTACCCCCTTCCATGGCAAAGATTTAAGCATTTCTAGACAAATTAATATTAAGATTTCAATGCATATTTCCGGTCATTTCTTGTAATTTTTCTATAAACCAACGTATATATATTTTGAAAGCAAATAAGGTGTATTTTCTAAAAAGGATTATTAAAATATAATTTCAGTTGCCATGGCAACGAAATACACAAAAATCATGCTGGAATTTCTATTCATTCAAGAATGAGTTTCATTGTATTTTTTTTTTTTTTTTTTTTTTTTTTTTTTTTGCTTTGTTAACTATTTTTAAAATACTATTGATGTTTTCAAAATTATGAGGATGTTTTACATTTTCTTAAAATCCAATTTAAAGTATTTTAGAAAAATGGGGTAGGGTTGGTAGGTACATGTAATCACCTGAATTTAGCATTTTTACACATTAAATGTTACCGCCGCATTGATTTCGATAATGGCAAAATCACTTGAATAGTGCGCAAAAGTTTAACTTAAGCTAGCAAAAAATGATACAGCCGATAAAAAAATGTTCTTTATATTGTATTATCGTAATTATTTTCTCTTTCAAACGGTGCAAGAATTATTCTGATATTTGCAGTATTAACGATGTTCTTAATGTTTGTTCATACTCGTTTTTCAAGTCAGATACGTAGAAATGCTTATATGCCATGAAAGGGGTTAACATATGTTGAAATCATATAATATTATTTTATTGTAATAGTAGAGAAACACAATAACCAGCGCAACGCAATGGTTACAGCGTGTGCTCTTGAGTCGCAGAGGAAGGAGTTAATCCTTACATCGGTGTTTAAAATCCCATCTTGGGAGGTGGATACCTGTCCTTCGGATGAGACTTTATAAACCGAGGGCCCGTGTCGCAATAGGTACTGGTATGATAAAGATCCCTCCCTATTAAATGGACCTGAGAGCCGACTATTAGACAAAATTTGCAGCTCTCCACCGGCAAGTGGAGGTTATACAACAATAAAAAAAGATTTGTAAAAACAATTTATTATTCTAAACACATGACTTTGACGGGTATATTAGGACCTCCCAAAAACTATTACAGTGTGCTATGTGTCTTCATTTCTCTGATCTACAAATGTATTTCAATCTACATAAAAAATGTCAGTAATGTAGTGTAAAATTAAGTGTTCTGATTGAGGCATTCTGTCATCAGAAAAAACCTTTTTTATATTCTGTTGTTTCTTTTCAACATCATCATTATTCTTACCGATTTTGTGCGAGCGGTTTCTTGAAAACTCGTCGATGGATTTTCATCAAACTCTGAAGGATGAGGGTTTATTTTATAAACTCCAGGCATTTTTATCTAGGTGACGTCACTTTCGATCGCTAGTTATTACCGATTTTCTTTCTTAAATTTGAAATTTTGTCCTGGTCTTTTCTTTAAAATGTTTAAGGGTTTCAGCAATTTGCTGAATTTGGATTCAGCAAATTCTATCTTAAATCGGAAATTCGTGGGGTTCATTTGGCAGGAAAATTTCTCAGCTTTAGAATGTAACAGCTACTCTCAACTATTAAGTCTACCATCGGCAGGGATGAATAATGACCCTACAGTATGAGAAAGATAAATGCTCTGATGAACTCAATATAAAAGGGAATCAAGTCTGTTACCGATACGCAAGGGAGATTTTAATAATTTTTATTTTGATTGGGGCGAGGCTTTACATATCTATTTCAAAAACTTATGAATTATGATTATTGCTAAAATTCTGAACGGAAAACGGAATGGAAAATGGAACGGAACTGAAAACGGAAAAAAAATATGTCAAACAAATAAACTAGATTCAATATAAATCAGCTATAGAAGCATTATTTTTGATATAAAAAATCATATCAAATAAAAATTATCGTAAACGATGATATATTTATGAATCATGTACACTCTCAGATCAGGCACAAGTACATACGATGGTCTATAAAATATAAATAACTAGACTCAAAGACTGAGTATCCATCTGAACGTTTCGTACAAGTTCCTTTTTAAAACAGAAAGTTCATTCATAAGAAAAATAATGTTGCCTTGAAATATGGAGAAGACTACTCGTATATACATACATATATTTGTGAAAACAAAAATACCTAGTTTCATTAACATTCAAATTATGCAAACAGTGGAGAATCCAGTTTTTATTGGGGAAAGGGTCTAGAGCCACACACACACGCTCTCCCTAACACACAGACACACATCCACCCTCACCTTCACTCACACACACACACCCTCACTCACCCTCACACACACACACACATACTCACCCTAACGGTATATTAAGTCTTATGTATATTTTGGACACAAAAAGGGGAGGACAGACCTTTTGCAATTTCACAGACCTTTTCGAAAAACAACAAGCGGAAAAACAAACTCCCAATGTTTTACGGGGTATGCATCCCTCCTTCCCCTCCATATATGAACCACATACAAACACATTTCATTGAATGTAAAGACGCTACATTAAGTATACCACAGAAAATTGTCACAGCTGTATCTATTGTTAAATTTAGTATAGATGTTATGGATTATCCACGAGTCTAAGTAACTTTAACGTTATTGTTACGTCATAATACCTTATGTTACGTTTCCATAGATAACAACAAGTCTAAAATAAAGCACTATACGATCAATACGTATTTCTACTTTTTTCACAACAAGAAGCAGAAAGGCGGACTCTATTTTGTTTAAAATTACAATAAAAAGCGTTACATTAGAAGTGTTTATCCGAGCTTCCCATACGTTTGCTGTAATCGTTATCTATAGAATTTTTTTTTACATTTTATTCCCCTCGACATCGTTAACCCCTCCCCCATTATTTCAAGACATAATCTGTTTACTGTAGAAGTGTTAATTGAAACACCACAACTTTTGTAATTAATGTAGTAGGCTAGTGTAAAAAAAATAGTACTGCAAGATTTTGGAGTTGGAACTTATCCCTCTCCCGAATCAAACAATAGCATTTCTTTTTTGTAAGTCAATTTCTTTTCATGCACATGCAGGTTCAATCACCACCCCAGCCTCCTGTCATATTCGATTCTACGTCATTGCTATGTCAGCAATTTTCGTGAATAAGATACTGACTAAATAAACTTCTATTTAATAATGGGGGATTAAACATGTATAAGATATCCCTGTATGCTTATGATTGAATTTATGTATTGTTAGTGATTAAATCGAAAATAATATATTCCGTTCTTCTTTCCGTTCCGTTTTCCGTTCCGCGTTTTAGAAACACCCTTGAATTATCTGTCAAACTCACACAAGACTTGGGTTACTTGTGAATTACAGTTAAATTAGAAATGGTTAATAGCTTAAAAAGAACGTATTCGAAATAATGATTTTTATTTTATTCACAAGTTTACTGTGGGTTTCTTTTTTTCCTTTCAGTATATATTATTTTATATGATACTGTGGTTTCATCAATTTTCGTTGGCATCAATTTTCGTGGATTTTGTAAAACAGACAGTTTCGAGGATACGTAATTTCGTGGACAAAAGCATTTTCTATACAAGTGAGTGTCATATTTCGTAATTCGATGAACATTTGAATTCGTGGATCTGCTCAACAACAAAATCCACGAAAATTGGTGCTCAACGAATATTGATGAAACCACAGTAGATATTATTTTATCTATCATATATGAATTTTTATTTCCATTTTTCTTAATATTTTTCAGACGATTGTCCTGAATCAAAAATATTTTGCTGTGATTGTTGGATCGGGGCCACAGATCTTTACACTGAGGGTGTTTTTACTTGGAATTTTCATACCAATGTCACGTTTCATACTTTCAACAAGCTGGCATCTGAAAATATTTTCTCAAAAGATTGCGTCCTTCTTTGTAAAACCGTGAAATGGGATGTTGAAAACTGTAACAACAAACATATATTTGTTTGCGAAAAAAGAATGAATGACCAAATATATCTCCCATGATAATAATTGTATCTTGCTGTATTATTATTTGAAAACCTTATCTCTTATTCTATATACATGTCACATGTGTCCAGCGATTGCATGTTATCCATACTTTCATATGTGTGATGTTTGTGATTGTATTTAATTTATTTATATCACATATTCATTTTTTTTTTGCTTCACAAGTTCAAAAATATGTGTACTCGACACCAAGCCTTGTCTGACCTTAGGTGAAAAAAATATAAAGCAACTGAACCCTCCCCAAGTTCGGCTTTTTGAAGTAAAAATCACAGGCTTCTTATACAATATATTTAAAAGTCAAGACGAAGATCCCTCACTCCTCTAAAACTATGATATATATCAAGTACACATATTTTATCCCTACCTGATTTCGTCATATAGATGAACAAATATGTAACGAAATGTTACAGATCATACAATGAATCAAAACTGATGAGAATCCAAACTGAACTTGATGACCAAACCATTATCGATGGACAACTTGAGGAGAAACAATACAATTTCAAAACATTAAATGTACGTTTATCTCCATTTATGAACGTTAACTGAAAACTAAACGTCATTGCTGACATTTTCTCTACTTTTCAAATGATTTTTGCCTTTCAAAAACAGTGATTTTGATTTGATATGTATTCGGGGGGAGGTGTTTATTTTTAATGAGTCATTCTCAACAATTGTCCATCAATGAAAGTTTCAATTTTTACTTCAAAGATGGTTTTCTGTAAAGTGCATACTTTTATAAACAAGTTCTGTTGCTATTTTATCTGATAATATAAATTTCTATGTATTTACTTATCAGGTCTTGCCGTTGCAAAATATCATTGAGAATTGTTTAAGATTACCATAAAAAGCATTGTCTTTACTTATATCTAAGGATGACAATCAAAAAACAAATAAATATTTAAAAGAAAGAACTGAACATATTAAGAAATACTACATGTATGAAAATGATTGTGAGTCCCTTTACCATGCATCTATCACGCCTGATACCACTTTTGCTTTTTATGTCTGTGTTTCCTCCGCTGCTATTTTACAATGTTCAATAAACTTTTGAGATCGAATACTGTTCTTTATCTTTACATATTTTAATTATTAATAAAATTGTTTTTTAGTCATTTTTTGTTTAAATAACGAATCACTGTCTAATTAGGAGACTATGCCAGGGCATCAAAAATAGTGGGAAACATAGCGAAGCCTGTTATGCTAAAATAATCCCATGCTTCCCACTACAGCAAAACTCGTTTAGTACAAATATGGATATTGCGAATTCACGGAAATAGCGAAGTATGTTACAACTCCAACTATATATTAATTTAACAAATTCCTTATACTGACAAAACGAATTACGTATATAGAGAAGTTATTTCACAGGTCCAAGTGACTTCGTTATAACTGAATTTTACTGTATTGTTGATGTCCATGGCATAGTCTCTTAACTAGACAGTGATTCCTTTTATATCCATTTTTATTTGAAATGAAAAAAAATTGTAAAATAAATCAAAAAACCGTCTAATTTAGAAGATTTGAAATGCACGAGGCCTAATTACGTCAAATTTTAATACTTAAAAAAAGTCCCATATATAAATATGAAACAAACTTATTGTTTATTTAGTTTTTGTAGTCAAATTTTAACATTAACAAAATAAGCAACAAGAGGATTTTTAATTATGATCGAATAATCGCGTTAACTTTAATTATACATGACCTAGATTTTAAGTAGTCGGAAGCACGAACACGTGAATAGGCCCTATGTCACTTCTCCACCACCATACTGAATACAATGCTGTTGTTGATGAGACGGGATTTGGTCAGGATGGTCAGAAAACAGATTTGTGTGAAAGTTAAAATAGCAGAGGCATGCAGTTGAGTTGCTCAAGAAGTCGGATGGTAATGACTGAGGGACTATGTCTGTATCAGAAGATTAAATGCAGATCTACGGGCAATGCCGATTTTTCCACGTGGTTTAGATGGGCTGTTTACCATGTTTTATGGTAGTGGACTTCTTGGTCTAGTGGTCTAGTGAGACCTCGGTGATAGTGGGCAGCCTTGCGTAAGTGACTTGCTTTTATCGGAAGATAAATCAATATTTTTTTTTTTGTTAAAAGATATATCATATCTTATTACTTAGTGAACTATTAAACAAAACATCTTTCCCTTTTGTGTATTTCTACGCCAGTGATATACCTGCAGGTTGAAAGTTGACCTTTCAGTAGTAGTAGAAATATACATACCACCCGTACAATCATGAAATTAACAAGATTTGTTTTTGTAGTGTTTCTCATAGAGAAATCAATTGGATATGGAAATGATATTTGATATCCATGGTAGGGACATTTTACATATTTACAAAGCATCTTAAATACCTGTCTCATAGATTAATTCCTTTTTAAGCCCAAATAATTTATCAGGTGAAATAAAAAATAATGCCGACTGAAATAAATAATTTAAATGTATTCTTATAACTGTGTGAAGAAATGAGAGATTTTTTTTTGCAGAACGGAGATGTTTACTTCTATATTCCTAAACAAAATTTACTTCATTGTATATTTAGGATAGATAATTGTCAAAAGGAGCAATGAAATGCACCTGCGCCTTGATTTCTCTTTCGAAAATGCGATATACACAATAGTTTTAAAGTATTAAGATGTTTGATAAAATGTTGTTTTTTTTTCAAAAAACAAAGGTTATTAAAGAATATTAACTTCGATGTTATATATATCTTTTAAGATATCACAATTAGAAAATTATTCAAAGACGAGAACAATACAAAGGTTTCAAAAACATCTAATATTCAGTTCTAAGCACTTTTACTGGTTCAAAATTGAATACTAAATTATAGACTATAATCAAAACTTATGCTAACAGAGATAATTAATAGCAGCACAAATGCAAACAGAATTATGCTTTACCAATTAAGTGCACAAATAAAACCTTATTAACTTCAAGACCTTTAGGCCATTTTTGGCTTCTCTGCTAGATGTTAAATTGGATATGCACTGTAAGTTTAAGTGTGAACAGAATTAATTGCAATTTAAAAAGAAATAACATAATTAAGTGAAGTTGAGTTCTCGTTTATAATCCAGGCGGATTATTTATGTAATAATTTCAGAATAGTGCACAACTAGTACATGTCATTATTTAGGAACGTGATCGATTAGTTTCATTATTGATATCCATAATACGATACAATACGATTGAATATCATTATCTTAAAGGAGTTGCTTCCTGACCGGGAGGTCGAGAGTAACCTTATTCGGTAAAAAAGGAAGCAAGTGTTTCTTTGCCACTTCGGAACTTTGAAGTGAAAGTTGCAGGTGAGAGCTTAAAAACCGAGGCCTAGTGTAACGGCAGGCGTTGGCACTATCAAGACTCCTAGCTGCTTAATGGCCTTGAGTGCCGAGCAAAGGTATGCGTAAACATTTGAAGCCCTTTGCCGAAATATAGTGACGAGTCTTTATGAATTATATTTTCTCAGATTGGACGTAAAACAACATTTATCAATAAATTAATCTTTGATTTTTTACAGACATTCTTACCTTTTATCTCAAATTAAATCATGGTCACATCGAATTTAAAATATCAGATATGTCTTAATGTTCATTTTCATATACGTCTTTAAAAATAGAATCTACCTTATACATCAAAGCGCCATGTTGTGTCAGATCACTTTGATATCCATTATTGGTTAGGTTGATATTCTCAACAAAAACGAATGAGGCAAAAGGCCTTTAAAAATTAGTTCACATCTCTCTAAAACATGTATTTACCAATCTAATATCTTCACAAATATTATGTGCACGAGACACCGGGGGTTAATTTTAGTTTTTAAGTTTGTCAGACGCTTTTAAGTAACATTTCAAGAAGGGTTAAACTACCTGGGTCATTACCTGCTTTGACTATTTTTGTAATGATGGCGTTCTGAAATATAAGATATTTGACTCTTGTTTTTAAAGGATACACACTCATGATATAAGTTTTATTAAAGATGTTTTGAAACCTATATTTAAAGTTATATAACAAATATAAATGCTTTCATCTTAATTGTATATTATCTCTATAATTTCCGTTAAAAAATGTTTGAGTTATGTATCGTTAAGTGCAAAAGGATATTTTGTTACAACTTAATAAACTGCAAGTATGATTGATGTTTCTATCTTTACAAGTCCTTTTAACATTGTGCAATAACTATCTGAAGATATATAAGTTGCATCAAACGATCAAATTGCATTAATAAGAGAATTTCATTACTCTTTAATGCGTACGTTAAAATTTATAAAATATTTTTTCCAGGCCTGATATTGAAGTCATTGATTAGATATTAAACTTAATTTTTTTCGAAAAATCCTTGTGAAAAAATGTTTAAATATAGTGTCATCCCATTTGCTTGCTTGGCAATCTTTAAGATCTCCAATTCTTGTCTCTTTGAGAGACAATTCATAAGAAACATTTCTTTAGAAGACACCCTTCCAATCAGCGGACAAGAATTCTACTTAAAATCTATCAAAAACAGGAGTCGAGAAGAATGTGCCATGCAATGTCTTCAGCTAAGGTCGACATGTGTAGGACTTGTGTATAGTGAAATACGCTCCCTTTGTTATCTGTTGAAATTCGGTTTTAATGGAAAAGTGTTAGACGGACGGACTAGGTCATCTTTTTGGGAATACTGGTACAAAGATGATGGTAAGTTACATGCACTGATTTAAGGTTTGTTTATATGTTATTGTTTTTAGCTTAACGGCCATAGAAACGTTCACATATATAGAGACGGCGACACTTGCCGATGGAGGACTGCAAATTTAATCCTGTACTCGGCACTCAGAGTCATTGCTCAATGAGGGATCTCTTTAAAATTTTTAAAAAGATCCTTCAATTTTGACTCGATTTAAATTAGAATTTTAAAGCAAATAAACTTATTAGATAATTAGTTAATCATATTTACTAAATGAGTTTGCTTGTATAAGCTAAACGATTTTATGTATTTATTGTTTTTTTTTTTC